TTCTGCTCCTCCTCCTCCTCCTCCTCCTCCTCCTTCTCCTCCGCCTCCGCCTCCGCCTCCGCCTCCGCCTCTGCCTCAGCCTCCTCCTCCTCCTCCTCCTCCTCTTCCTCCTCCTCCGCGTCCTGTTCCTCCTCCTCCTGGTCCTCTTCTTCGTCCTCTCCTGGTAATTCGTAATAGTTTAGTGCTATCAGTATCACCATGTGTATTAGTATTAGTCGTCCCATTACTCTTATTCTTAAGAGTAGCATTATTACTGTGTTGTTAGTCGCCCCAGCAGTCGCAAAAGTCTCATTATTCCCTATATAGCCGATAAAAAATAGTACTATGAGTAGTACTAGTAGTATTAATAGTAGCAGTGTTAGTAGTAGTAGTAGTAGTAGTAGTAGTGCTAGTAGTCGTAGTAGTAGTCGCAGTAGTAGTAGTAGTAGTAGAAGCAGTAGTAGTAGTAGTAGTAGTAGTAGTAGTAGTGGTAGTAGTAGTAGTAGTAATAGTAATCGTGATAGTAGTAGTAGTAGTAGCAGCAGTAGTAGTAGTAGTAGCAGCAGTAGTAGCAGTAGTAGCAGTAGTAATAGTAGCAATAGTAATTGTAGTAGCAGTAATAGTAGTAGCAAGAGTAGTAGCCGTCTTCTTGTTTTCATATTCGGCTTATGAGTATGATTCATATGTTTCGCCTGATTCCTCCGCCTCCTCCTCATCATCATCATCGTCATCATCAGCATCATCATATTCATCATCAGCATCATCATCAGCATCATCATCAGCAGCATCATCATCCTCATCCTCATCCGCACCATCATCATCATCATCGTCATCATCATCATCAGCATCATCATCATCGTCGTCATCATCATTATCAGCATCAGCATCATCATCAGCATCATCAGCATCATCATCAGATACTTCCTCCTCCTCCTCTTCTTCCTCCTCTTCCTCCTCCTCCTCCTCCTCCTCCTCCTCCTCCCCCTCCTCCTCCTCCTTCTCCTCCTCCTCCTTCTCCTCCCTCCTGCCTACTGCCTCCTCCTTCCTTTCTTCCTCTCTCCTCCTCCTCCCCTCCCCAATCCCCTTGTTCACCCCCCCCCCCCCCCCCCTCCCCCTCCCCCGCCCCTCCCCCTCCCCATCTCCTCCTCCTCTCCTTCCTTCCTCTGCCTCTTCTACTTCCTACCTCCTCCTCCTCCTCCTCCGCCTCCTCCTCCGCCTCTTCCTCTTCGTCCTCCTCCTCCTCCTCCACCTCCTCCTTCTCTACCCTCACTCTTCCCTCTGTCGTGCGGGTCGGCGCTACAGCGCACGTGCACATCTCAGCGTGCACCGCAGAATGGCACATTGAATCAATCCACGTGGTTTTCCGACGGCCAATTCTGCGGGAGCCCTCTTGTCGCAGATAGGAAGACTGAGGTCGTAGATTCCACCGGCGCTCCTTTTTCCGCAAAGTTTCTTTTCCAAATCCTACATTCAACAATTGTTTTTCCCTATCTAGGCTCTGCCTAGAAGGGTTCTTACTCGTTGGCTTAAAGGGCCGGGCAGTGCTAACCGCCCCGGGCGGTTCCCCCGGTCCCCTGGGAGCGGTTCCCCCAGTTGCGCCCCCTAGCTTTAGCTTTAGCTGTGGCTTCAGCTTCAGCTTTAGCTTTAGCAGTAGTTTTAGCTTTAGTTGTTAGCTTTAGTTTTAGGTTTCGTTTTAGATTTAGCTTTAGCTTTAGCGTTTTCTTAGATTTAGGTTAGTGTTAGCTTAGATTTAAGTTAGCTTTAGCTTAGCTTTAGCTTAGCTAGCCTAGCTTTAGCTTAGCTTTAGCTTAGAGTTAGCTTAGCTTTAGCTTAGCGTTGGCTTAGTTTTAGCTTAGATGTCGCTTAGCGTTAGCTTAGTTTAGCTTAGATGTAGCTTATGTTTAGCTTAGTTGTAGCTTAGAGTTAGCTTAGAATTAGCTTAGAATTAGCTTAGCTGTAGCTGATGTTTAGCTTAGATGTAGCTTAGTGTTAGCTTAGCTTCAGCTTAGCTTTAGCTTAGCGTTAGCTTAGTTTTAGTTTTGCCTTAGCTTAGCGTTAGCGTATCCTTAGCTTAGTTTTAGCTTAGCTTTAGTTTAGCTGTAGCTGAGCTGTAGCTTAGCTGTAGCTTAGCTTTAGCTTAGCTTTAGCTTAGCTTTAGCTTAGATTTAGCTTAGCTTTAGCTTAGCTTAGTTTAGTTTTACCGTTACTACGAATGCTGCTTTCCTAGGGGCTCCAACTCCTAGGTAGGGAGATGGGGGGCGCGTTGCAGCTGGACGCCCACCCGAAGTGGAACAGGTCCGAGCGGAGCCCAGCGACCAACACCACTCCGCAAGCGATGGTGGCAGCAGCTGCACCGACGGCGGCCGCGGCAGTGCTGGGCCCCAGCGGATCGGTGGGCGCTGAGACGCCGAGGCCCCGCCGAGTTTGAGGCACCAGCGCCCATGCGTTCGCCTGGCGTGCAGCGAGGAGGAGGAGGAGGAGGAGGAGGAGGAGGAGGAGGAGGAGGGAGGAGGAAGGAGGGAGGAGGGAGAAGGGAGGAGGGAGGAGAGAGGAGGGAGGAGAGAGGAGGATTTTTTGGATTGCGCGCACGATGAACCTGGCGGCTGTCGCGAAAGAACAGTCAGGCAGGCCGGCTGAACTAAAAAGTGGTGATCTGCACGGGCACCGGAGGAGGCAAGGTCAGCACAGCACGAATGGACCCCCGCATCAGAGCGGACGGGACGCGTCGAACCGAAGCAAGGAATCCGTACCTCCCTCCCTTCTCCAATGAAACCCCCATCCCCCACAGTAGGTGGCGACGGACGGATCAAGACATACTCTGCTCGCGTGCCGTGCCCTACACGGGCATTGTGGAGGAGAGGCGGAGGGAGGGAATATATGTGAGAGGGAGAAAGAGGGCTGGGACACAGACCGAAATCATCCTGCTCTCGTGGCACGGAATAGAGCTTGGGAGAAGGCTGGGACAAAGACACAGACACAGACAGAGAGAGAGGAGGAGGGAGGGAGGGAGGGAGGGACGAGGAGGGCGTTAAGGCGCAGGGAGGGATGGGAGGGGGGAGGAGGAGAGGAAGGAGGAGGAGGAGGAGGAGGAGGAGGGAGGAGGTGGAGGAGGGGAGGAGGAGGATGGAGGAAGGGAGGGAGGAGGGAGGGAGGAGTGGGTGGAGGGAGGAGAGAGGAGGAGATAAGAGGAGGAGGGGAAGGGGTGGGAGGAGGGAGGAGGAGGGGGACGAGTAGGAGAGGAAAGGGGAGATAAGGGATGGGAGGGAGGAGGAGGAGGGAGGAGGTGGAGTGAGGAGGCGTGAGGAGGAGGAGGAGGAGGAGGAGGAGGAGGAGGAGGTGACGGGAGGAGGGGAGGAGGGAGGAGAGAGGAGGAGGGGGGAGGGGGAGGAGGGACTGGAGGCAGGAGAGAGGAGGAGGGAGGAGGAGGAAGGAGAGGGAGGAGGGAGGAGGGGGGAGGGAGGAGGTGAAGGGTTGGAGGAGGAGGGGTAGGAGGGAGGAGGAGGAGGAGGAAGGAGGAGGAGGAGGGGGAGGAGGAGGAGCTTTTGTTGCGGCGTTTCGTCCAAGGCGGCCCGCCAGCCGTGCCCGGCCGACGGTCCCAGGCTGGGGCCGACGAACGAGAGCGGGCCGCGCGGGGGCCCTCGTGCACGGCAGCCTGCGCGGGCTGCCGGCGCTGCGGAAGGAGCTCGCCAGCTGCCCGCTCTTACGCTGCTCGTGAAGTTCCGAGCCCAAAGCAAAATTTGGACGCCCCCCCGACATGGGTACTCCAGATTTTTGTAATAAAAGGGAGAGGGTATGGACCCTTCCATAGGCAAGCCATTTCAGACCCCCCCCCCCCCCGTGGGAGAACCCGCCAAAACATCGTCCCCAGACCCCCCCAGGCCCTCCAAGATAGCCTGGAAGAGACCCCCTCCCGAAATGAGACCCCCCTCCCTTTGTTACGAAATCTGGAGCACAAAGACATACTTAAAACTATATGTCCGCCTCGGAGGCGGGCGTCCGACCCGAACATATAGTGTACCCGTCTTGTAGTATGTCGTTTCTCGAGCGGTGTGGCCAGAAAGCGCCCGCCACGACGCATATACCATAAGATTTCTCGGTGCGCGCGTCGCCCCTGGGGGGGCGACGAATACATAGTATAAGTATGGTGGGGGGACGCCGACATTTGGACGCCCGAAATGGGTACGGCAAGAATGGGTGCAATGCCCAACAGACATGTTGTCCCAAACCAACAGCGGCCGTTGTTGGTACAGGATCCAGTACGGAATGCATGCTTTGGTGGGAGCCCCAGAAGGGCGGTTCTGGAAATGGTATGGGGCCGAGTAGGAGTGGCACAGACAGGATATGTAACCTAACAAGGAAACTGCTGGGGATTGCATTGAAATGGGATGAGACCTGAGCGGGATGGTGCACGAATGCAAAAAACACACACACACACACAACAACAACAACAACAACAACAACAACAACAACAACAACAACAACAACAACAACAACAACAAAACATATATGGTATAGAGTTGGTGTGGACCCTGGGATAGATGGTACAGATACTGTGTGTGTGACCTGATAGGGGAAATGGCATGGAGCCAAATGGGGATAACATAGAAATGGCATGGGACCTGATAGGGATGGTCAAGGAATGGTGCAGGGTCAAATAGAAGTTGTAGAGAACTGGTGTGGGAACTGATGGGGGTGGTATAGAAATCCTATGGGACCCAATGGGATGACTGGTATGGGTCAGGCAGGGATAGCTGAATATTATGGAGCCTAGCAGGGGCGGTATTGAACAAGTATGGGACCTAGTAGGGATGGTATGCGAATGCTATGGACCGTGTTAGGGACTGTAAGAACATGGATGCCACGTATAACCGTATGCAAAACGATATCGACGAGATCAAGAGGATTTGTGCCACTGAACATTGCAACTACGAGGCACTCGTAATTAGAATGCCAAGTGGTTCTCAAATTAGATCATTCGATAGCTGGGTCGCGCCAGCATTTCTGCAGCCGAACAGCCTGGCTCAGAACTCGTCGCCATAGCCCTCCTCCTCGCCCTCCCCCTCGGCGGTTTCAATACCAACCTCCTCGTAGTCTTTCTCCAGCGCGGCCAGGTCCTCGCGGGCCTCTGAAAACTCTCCCTCCTCCATGCCCTCGCCGACGTACCAGTGGACGAAGGCGCGTTTGGAGTACATGAGGTCGAACTTGTGGTCAATGCGGGAGAACACCTCCGCGATGGCCGTGGAGTTGCTGATCATGCAGCAGGCGCGCATCACCTTGGCCAAGTCACCACCGGGCACCACGGTGGGCGGCTGGTAGTTGATGCCGACCTTGAACCCAGTAGGGCACCAGTCAACAAACTGAATCGTGCGCTTCGTCTTGATTGTGGCAACCGATGCATTCACGTCCTTGGGCACCACGTCCCCTCGGTACATCCGCCACCCGCGCTTGCAGCGGTTGGGATGTGGCTGGTCCTTGCGTTCTTTCGTTGGCGCCGCCTCTCGCGAAGGCAGTACGTATGCACCCCGGACGCATCGGATTCCCGACACTTCAACTTTCGGGACCAAGGCCCGCATCATTATACATCCACGTGATAGGTATGGGAATCCCCCCCGCTCAAGTGAAAAAAGGGGAGCGGGCCTAGGCATGATCCTCCTAGCCCCACCCACCGCCCGGGCACCAGGGCACCCACGAGCGCGTTTCTTTATGTTCGGCGATGGCGGGCGTCAGGGGGGGGGGGGGGGCGAAGGGGGGTATGACATAACGCCCCCCCGCCGACTGGCTCCGGCACCGCAGCCGCGCCCGCGCGCGCGACGCGACGAGCGACGAGCGACGACGACGACGACGACGACGACGACGACGACCACGACGACGAGGATCACGACGACGACGACGACGACGACGACGTCGACGACGCGAGCAACATGTAGGTGGCGATATGCCCCACTGCGCCTGTGTACACCACAACGCTCGCGTACACCACAGCGCGCGCGTATACCACAGCGCCTGCGCGCACCGCAACAACCGTGTGCAACGCAGCGCCTGTGTACACCACAATGCTTGCGTACACCTACAGCGCCGGCGTACAATTGCACACTGCATCTACCATGTGCAACACAGCGCCTGTGTACACCACAATGCTCGCGTGCACCGCAGCGCCTGTGCACACCACAGCGCGCGTCTACACTACAGCATCCGCGTGCAACGCAGCGCTGGTGTACACCACAATGCCTGCGTGCATAGGGCAGGTAGAAGGAGCATGTACGTGAGGATCTGCTGCGGACAAATAGACGCCACGCCGAGAAATTGTTGACAATCGAATGCGATGTCCTTCCTTCCTCCCCCCTCCTCCTCCTCCACCTCCACCTCCAGTTCCACCTCCTCCTCCTCCTCCTCCTCCTCCTTCCTCCTCCTCCTCCTCCTCCTCCTCCTCCTGCTCCTCCTCCTCCTCTTCCTCCTCCTCCTCCTCCTCCTCCTCCTCCTCCTCCTCCTTACTACCTGTCATGCGGGTTGGCGTTACAGCGCACGTGCGCATCTCAGCGCGCACCTCAGAATGATCTATGAAATCGGTCCATTTGGTTCTCGGACGGCGAATTTAGCCGGAACCTCCTGGACGCAAAGGGAGGGGTTAGGGTGATGCGGGCGGACTCGGGAAGACACGTAGATTCCAGCGGCGCTCCGTTGTCCATAAGGACTATTTTAAATTGTCCACAAGCGCTCCATTTTGTCATAATGGTTCGTTCTCACATTCCATATACAGCAATGGTGTTGTGTCGCACACGGTTGCTGCGGTGCACACAGGCGCCGTGGTGCACACAGGCACTGCAATGCACGCATGCATTGTGGTGTATACTGGTGCTGCGTTGCACACGGCTGATGTGGTGAACGCAAACGTTGTGGTGTGCCCGCAAGCACGGTGGCACAAACTGACGCTGTGTTGCACGCGGCTGCTGTGGTGTACATGGGCGGTGGTGTACTCAGGCGCTGTGGTGCACGCACGCACTGTGGTGTACACAGGCGTTGTGGTGCAAATCGCCACCTACAAGCGGGCGCTACCCGTCCTCCGTCATGCTTAGGCATTCCCAAACGCCGCCGGCGCGAAACGTGACGTCATCGACCCCCTCCATCCCCCCCCTAGATGATTGCCGTCATCGGCCCGGAATAAAAAGCAGGCTTCAGCCGCGTCCGCGCGCACGACGACTATGAGCGACGAGCGACGAGCCACGAGCGACAAGCCACGAGCGACGACGACGACGACGACGACGACGACGACCACGACGACGACTGCGGACCAGACTCCTATGCGGATTCCTACGCGGACACCTACGCGCATCCCAATGCGCACAGCGGCAGTGCTCGGAGCGCACTGGAGGGCAGGGCCCCGAGCGCACTGGAGGGGGGAGCGTTACGTCAAGGGGGGGGTGGGAGGGGGGGGGCTGGGGGCCATGACTGACTACCTACCAGACCACCCCAACCCAACCCGAAGACCTGGATTTCGGGTTGGGGGGGGTAAGGGTTCCATGTGTGTTTTTTCAGTGTTCCCCGACCCCCCCCCCAACTGGAAATGGAGGGCAAATTGAGGCCTTCGGGTTGGGGTGGTTTGGTGGGTGGTGAATGACGCCCATCATGCCCCGAGCAATAAAGAAACAGGCTCCACCCAGGCGCAACCCAAAGCGCGGCGGCGGATTCGCGCGGCAGCGCAACTGGATCATGCAGCACGCCATGTACTTGCCGTGGCGGGGGTCACACTTGACACACATGGCCGAGGTTCAAACACGGAAACATGTCATTTCCTTCCGCCACGGAGCTGCTCATGGTACGGCCTTCTCTGCAGACCGGATCCATCGCGGTGCGTAGCCTAGCATGAAGTTTATGCCGCGCGCCTGGCAACCATTCCGTCTGGAATGCACTTCGGTCGCACGTTGGAGGCGCGCCGTCCAAGCGCAGCGAGGCCGTCAGCGAAGGATATTATTGGGCAACAGCCTGTTTCGGTCGTGTACTGGGGGCTCGATGTGCGAGACTTGCGCCTGCAAATTCGTACAGACGCTTCTTTAGTCGTACATGCTAGTCCGTCAGTGGTGCTCCAGCCAAGTTGCACGCACCACACGGTGTTGTAGGCTCCACCACTGTGTGGCAATCTGCGTGCACGCCTCCATACCGTGGTACTACACCTTGGTCTTCTTGCCGTAGTCCACCGACAGGCGCTCCAGCATCAAGCAGCCCAGCCCGGATCCAGTGCCTCCGCCGACGGCGTTGTAGATCATGAACCCCTGGAGCCCCGTGCAATTGTCGGCGAGCTTCCGAATACGGTCCAAGACAAGGTCGACGATCTCCTTGCCGATCGTGTAGTGGCCGCGCGCGAAGTTGTTGGCCGCGTCCTCCTTCCCAGAGATCAGCTGCTCGGGGTGGAAAAGCTGGCGGTACGTGCCGGTGCGGACCTCGTCCACGACGGTGGGCTCAAGATCCACCATCACACAACGTGGAACATGCTTGCCAGCACCCGTCTCCGAGAAGAATGTGTTGAAGGCGTCGTCGCCACCCCCGATTGTCTTATCGGAGGGCATCTGCCCGTCAGGCTGGATGCCATGCTCGAGGCAGAAAAGCTCCCAACAAGCGTTACCGATCTGAACGCCAGCCTGCCCGATGTGGATGCAGATCGCCTCACGCATCGTGTTGAGGAAGCTGTCTGGGTAGGTGAGTGATTTAAAAGAAAGGATGCAGAAGGAGACTGCCGCGGAATGTGGCGGTCTCTCGTGCAGCTGCTTGAACCGAAATGACTGCGGATGGACTCTTCTGATGGACCCTCCTAAACATGTCCAGATGGACTCTCCTGAAGACGGTCTTCCGTGAATCGGCGCGAGCACTTTAGATGGACTCTGATGAAGAGCGCAGGGCTGCAGCGTGGGACCGGAGGTTCTGGAAATGGTATGGGGCCGAGTAGGGGTGGTACAGACAGGGTATGGGACCTAACAAGGAAATTGTTGGGGATTGCATTATAAAATGGGATGAGACCTGAGCGGGATGGTGCACGAATGCAAAAACCAAAAAAACTATATATGGGATAGCGTTGGTGTGGACCCTGGGATAGATGGTACAGATACTGTGTGCGACCTGATAGGGAAAATGGCATGGAGCCAAATGGGGATAACATACAAATGGCATGGGACCTGATAGGGATGGTCAAGGAATGGTGCAGGGTCAAATAGAAATGGTAGAGAACTGGTGTGGGAACTGATGGGGGTGGTATAGAAATCCTATGGGACCCAATGGAATGACTGGTATGGGTCAGGCAGGGATAGAGGAATATGATGGAGCCTAGCAGGGGCGATATGGAACAAGTATGGGACCTAGTAAGAATGGTACGCGAATGCTACGGACCGTGTTAGGGATGGTAAGAACATGGATGCCACATATAACCGTATGCAAAACGATATCGACGAGATCAAGAGGATTTGTGCCACTGAATATTGCAACTACGAGGCACTCGTAATTAGAATGCCAAGTGGTTCTCAAATTAGATCATTCGATAGCTGGGTCGCGCCAGCACTTTTGCAGCCGAACAGCCTGGCTCAGAACTCGTCGCCATAGCCCTCCTCTTCGCCCTCCCCCTCGGCGGTTTCAATACCAACCTCCTCGTAGTCTTTCTCCAGCGCGGCCAGGTCCTCGCGGGCCTCTGAGAACTCCCCTTCCTCCATGCCCTCGCCGACGTACCAGTGGACGAAGGCGCGTTTGGAGTACATGAGGTCGAACTTGTGGTCAATGCGGGAGAACACCTCCGCGATGGCCGTGGAGTTGCTGATCATGCAGCAGGCGCGCATCACCTTGGCCAAGTCACCACCGGGCACCACGGTGGGCGGCTGGTAGTTGATGCCGACCTTGAACCCAGTAGGGCACCAGTCCACAAACTGAATCGTGCGCTTCGTCTTGATTGTGGCAACCGATGCATTCACGTCCTTGGGCACCACGTCCCCTCGGTACATCCGCCACCCGCGCTTGCAGCGGTTGGGATGTGGCTGGTCCTTGCGTTCTTTCGTTGGCGCCGCCTCTCGCGAAACAGTACGTAGCACCCCGACGCATCGATCCCAACACTTCATTTTCGGGACCAAGGCCCTGCACCATTAACTTCCACGTGAAAGGTACTGAATCCCCCCGCGTGGAAAAAGGGAGCGGGCATGGCATGTTCCTCCCGACCACCCACCGCCAGGGCACCCACGAGCGCGTTTCTTTATGTTCGGCGATGACGAGCGTCATGGGGGGGGGCGGGGCGAAGGGGGGGGTATGACGTAACGCCCCCCCCCGCCGTGTGGCTCCGGCACCGCAGCCGCGCCCGCGCGCGCGACGCGACGAGCGACGAGCGACGACGACGACGACGACGACGACGACGACGACGACGACCACGACGACGACGATCACGACGACGACGACGACGCCGACGCGAGCAACATGTAGGTGGCGATATGCCCCACTGCGCCTGTGTACACCACAACGCCCGCAGACACCACAGCGCGCGCGTATACCACAGCGCCTGCGCACACCGCAACAAGCGTGTGCAACGCAGCGCCTGTGTACACCACAACACTTGCGCACACTACAGCGCCGGCGTACACTTGCACACTGCAGCTACCATGTGCAACGCAGCGCCTGTGTACACCACAATGCTCGCGTGCACCGCAGCGCCTGTGCACACCACAGCGCGCGTCTACACCACAGCATCCGCGTGCAACGCAGCGCTGGGGTACACCACAATGCCTGCGTGCATAGGACAGGTAGAAGCAGCATGTACGCGAGGATCTGCTGCGGACAAATAGACGCCACGCCAAGAAATTGTTGATAATCGAATACGACGCTATTCCTTCCTCCCCCCTCCTCCTCCTCCACCTCCACCTCCAGCTCCACCTCCTCCTCCTCTTTTTCCTCCTCCTCCTCCTTACTACCTGTCGTGCGGGTTGGCGTTACAGCGCACGTGCGCATCTCAGCGCGCACCTCAGAATGGTCTATTGAATCGGTCCACGTGGTTCTCGGACGGCCCATTTAGCTGGAACCTCCTGGACGCAAAGGGACGAATTAGGGTGACGCGGGCGGACTCGGGAGGACACGTAGATTCCAGCGGTGATCCGTTGTCCATAAGGTCTATTTTAAATGGTTTAAGCGTTCCATTTTGTCATAGTGATTCGTTCTCACATTCTATATACAGCAATGGTGCTGTGTTGCACACGGTTGCTGTGGTGCACACAGGCGCCCTGGTGTACACTGGCACTGCAATACACGCATGCATTGTGGTGTATACCGGTGCTGTGTTGCACACGGCGTGGTGAACGCAAACGTTGCGGTGTGCACAAGAGCTGTTGTGCCCGCAAGCACGGTGGCACAAACTGACGCTGTGTTGCACGCGGCTGCTGTGGTGTACATGGGCGGCGGTGTACACAGGCGCTGTGGTGCACGCACGCACTGTGGTGTACACAGGCGTTGTGGTGCAAATCGCCACCTACATGCTGGCGCTACCCGTCCTCCGTCATTCTTAGGCATTACCAAACGCCGCCGGCGCGAAACGTGACGTCATCGACCCCCTCCATCCCCCCTAAATGATTACCGTCATCGGCCCGGAATAAAAAACAGGCTTCAGCCGCGTCCGCGCGCACGACAACTATGAGCGACGAGCGACGAGCCACGAGCGACGAGCCACGAGCGACGACGACGACGACGACGACGACGACGACGACGACGACGACGACGACGACTGCGGACCAGACTCCTATGCGGATTCCTACGCGGACACCTACGCGCATCCCAATGCGCACAGCGGCAGTGCTCGGAGCGCACTGGAGGGCAGGGCCCCGAGCGCACTGGAGGGGGGAGCGTTACGTCATAGGGGGGGGGTGGGACGGGGGGGGCTGGGGGCTATGACTGACTACCTACCAGACCACCCCAACCCAACCCGAAGACCTGGATTTCGGGTTGGGGGGGGTAAGGGTTCCATGTGTGTTTTTTCAGTGTTCCCCGACCCCCCCCAACTGGAAATGGAGGGCAAATTGAGGCTTTCGGGTTGGGTTGGGGTGGTTTGGTGGGTGGTGAATGACGCCCGTCATGCCCCGAGCAAGAAAGAAATGGGCTCCACCCAGGCGCAACCCAAAGCGCGGCGGCGGATTCGCGCGGCAGCGCAACTGGATCATGCAGCACGCCATGTACTTGCCGTGGCGGGGGTCACACTTGACAAACATGGCCGAGGGTTCAAACACGGACATGGTAATTTCCGCCACAGAGAGCTGCTCGTGGTAGGCCTTCTCTGCAGAGATCACCGGTGCGTAGCTCGAGAGCATGAAGTGGATGCGCGGGTACGGCACCAGGTTCGTCTGGAACTCCGTGATGTCCACGTTGAGCGCGCCGTCAAAGCGCAGCGAGGCCGTCAGCGAGGATATTATCTGGGCCAACAGCCTGTTCAGGTTCGTGTAGGTGGGGCGCTCGATGTCGAGATTGCGCCTGCAAATATCGTACAACGCTTCGTTGTCGTACATGATAGTCACGTCAGTGTGCTCCAGCAAAGAGTGCACGCACAACACGGT